CAACCTTGTGAATAGATTCCTTTATGACAAGCTGTAATTAGATGCGTTTAGTTCTGATCGTAGGATCATGTTCATTTTAGTTCTGATTTTCGAACACTTGAACAAAACGTATTATTGCAAGCCAGCCTGGTCGACTCTGCGTACGATTATACTGTAATTAAGAGTGTTGGATGTACAGGTGCGCTTGACAAAGACCAGGGGAATATTTGTCAAGTAGCAACAAATTAGGCAGTGGAACTAAATTTCCCTGAAGAAGAATGACCATCCATACAAACTGACTTCGAGAATTACCAAGTTTGGTAACCCTAGTCAGAAGGCCTGAATCACGAACTCCAGAGAAAAAGGGCTCGACTACTTTAGTGCCCCCGAATTTATCGAACATTTTGACTTTGGGTCAGTACGACTGCTTCCAGTCTGTGTGAATGAAGTTTTTATACTGAACAAAGTCCAGTCTGTGGGAGTCTGCAGGAGTTGTATCTTCCCATTACTGGGCATTTGCCTGAATCTGTCAAGAGGACTCCGAATAGCGGTATTTTCTTGGTCAGTTGTTTCATGATTCAGCTGCCGGCATTTCAGTTGCCAGCCAGGCAGACTTTCCACATCCACAATGAGCAATAAGTTATGAGACAGTGCAAGTCTTCACTTGTTCCTTAACACAATCTAGGAGTTTCAACAATCCTCGTTATTCGATATTTTCATTCCATCATAGATTCCATCCTGTCGTGTATGCTCAGTTCAAGAGACAGGTTATTCGTCAGGTTACTTCCTGCCGAGCGTCTAAACGCAGTTGGTGGAAATCAAGCTCATATGGAAACCGTACTGTTGAATGTCTACAATTCCAAAGAATCCAGGCGACAAGTAAGGACTGTTCAAGGTCAAGCCACGCAACGGTAAGTTGCTTAGGCAGTTATGTGGAAATGTAGTGAATTCTAATCCCGACGCAAGAATTTTGAGCAAATCGTCAACTTCCATGTGCATTAATGAGACCGCTAAAGGTGAAAGCTCTGTTCAAACTATTACCATTCCGAC